ATATTAACAATATGGATCGTTTCTAATGAAAATATTGAGCGCGAAGGGCGCGGAAGGAAGACAGAGATGTGGAAGTCGCGCGTTTCGAATGTCGGCTTCGAGAGAGAAAGAGAGAGAGAGAGAGAGAGAGAGAGAGAGAGAGAGAGAGAGAGAGACGCGTTCTGAAAACCTCGAGAATTGTCTGCGGCGCGGCCTGAAACAACAATAACGCTATTCAGGCCGGTGGCATTTGACAGTGGGGTCGGAAACAATGAAACAATCAGCTCTCGGCCCCTCTCTGACGGAGGGATGAAGAGGGTGCTGGCGAGGTGAGAGACACAGACGGGCGTGAAGGCCGGAAGTCAACAGTGCCGGACAATGGCAGGCAGCGTCTGACTACCGTTCCTAATTAACCAAGTTCGCCAACTTCGGGTGGACTTGACGATCCCCTTTTCCTAATGCATAATTACGCGTCGCTCATGGCGGTTTCCGCGACGGGACCCAGCGTAGCATGAGTTGCACGAAGAATAGGCATACTCTCCGCACTAGAGACAGTAATCGTTTATAAATAAAGACTCGATAACAAACACCTATGCGCAGTTGCGATGAAATCTTGAATAAATTTCAGTGGCAACGTGTTTGAATTTGCTCAAGTATATATTTATGTCAAAAAAAAAAATCATCATAAAACTATCTACTCTTGCAGTATTTGTCAATATGTAAACTCTGACAAGTCGTTGGTGGCAGAGTTGTCGAGAAATTTGTTGTCTCGTAGGTCATAAAAGTATGAAGATATGAAAAGTATGAGATATGGAAAGTGTTAAGACCGATAAAAAAAGGGGCACCAGTCACGCGGCTTTTATTAACCTCTAGCACATAGTCCCTATATCTTTGGTTCATTTCCCCTTCTCTCTCTCTTCCTATCTTTCTCTCCTCCTCCTCTATCTCTATCTCTATCTCTCTCTCTCTCTGTCATCACGCTTTTTATTATTCGCATAATCGGATCTGGAGCGGCGATAGCGCCGGTGATTTCGGGTTTGTCTAGGGTAACGCAGTTGTCGGCCGGCACAATGCCGCGCCTGAATGCCTCATTGTCTGTCGGGACCGACGCCCACTCAAAACTTCCACTCGCGCCCACCGCCGCCCGTCATTTTCCGCAATCAAACGATCGCGCATCCTCTCAGCGTCGCGCATAAAAGCGCGGCTGATACCTACCCGTTTTCAACACGCGCGCGCGCGCGCTCGAGCGATGCAATTAAAACGTCCGTTTCTCTCTTTGACGCACGCGACACAATCCTGAAGAAGAAATCAAATTTCAAGTTCTAATCGTAGATTCTCGTGAAAATTCTCAGACGGTTCTCGATATCTATTCGCGGTGGAGATCGTCATTCAATCCTCCGGTCCGTTCAAATTGGCAATGTTGACTTCGTAATTTTGACAAGTGAGAAATGTTTTTCGCACGATTGTCGCGAATACTGTGACTGTGCACAGTAATTAACAACCAAATGGAATTTAAATACACTGCGCGCAAATGAGCAACAGAAGTCAGGAAGTTTCTGGAAGTCAAGGAAATATAAGGCGAGTCGAAGTCACTTGGTGTTTTACAATCTACATGTGGCATTGTCGCGAGTTAAATCTCATATCGCTCCTTTCTCTGTTGAAAATGAACCACGGTCGGAATTTCTCACGACGCACGCGTCTCGGAGAGTGATTACATTTCACTCGAAATTCCGTCTCCTTACGGGAACCGTCCGGGAGCTGCAACGAGGACATTCTTCGTTGACAATACCCGCCACAATCGAGCGCGACACACTTCCGCGCATACTAATGGAGAGGAGCACACACGCAGAGCTCTCTGGTCAGGAAGAGTAGCTCGCTAGGACCTCTCTCCTCGTCCTCTTTCCACGTCTTTGTGTGCACCACTCGTAAAACTTACCAGCTCCTGTTGCCCTCCTCCTCTCGTCTCGCCATCGAGCAACTCGACAGAAGTTACTCGTAAAAGCGTATAGAAACTCGTCACTCGCAATTGATGCTTCATGATTTTGAACATGGGAGCGAACGGATTCTAAATAAACGGAAGGAGAATCTTGGGGTGTCTTCTATTCTTCATATTTTTTGATATGTAAAATAAAATCAATTTAAACTTTGGTGAACTGGTGTGTATTACATTTCATGGTAAATGATTATTTGTTTGAAAAAGATCTCGAAATAATCACTTTTCTCGACTCCCTGAATTTCGATTTCCACGAGAGCGTAATCACGAGTACGGCGAAACTTGAGCGATTGTAAGAAAGGGAGAGAACGTGCCCAGCGCCGACGGTGGAAACGTCTCCCGGGCCGCCATTCTCGCCGTTATCTCACCGCAGAGAAAGCATGATTGCCTTTATGGGGGAAGAAAGGGTCTTTCGCGGTGGCGATAATGTCCTCGTGGCGGCGACGGAGGCGTCGCTATCAGAAATAAAACACGACGATCCGGCGAGAGAACTCGGTGGAGGGGCGAAAAAGACGCGGTGAGAAAACTTTACCTCGCCCTCGAGATTTTCTCTCTCTCTCTCTCTCTCTCTTTCTCTCTCATTCTTTCTCGCTCCGATTAATTTCGCAACTTTCTCCTTGAGACTTTGTGCAAAACTCATGATCATGTTCGTACATGTATACATCGGCGTTGCGATAAGGAAAAATCGTTAGATGTAAGTTTGTGTTGCTCTGATGATTTAATATTTGTGTCTCAGAAGACAGAAAAAGTATTAAAGAAAAATAACTTCGCAACCAACATCAACTCAAATTTATACTGCAGTATCAAACGTTTAGTCATACAGAGAGAAATAAAACGGTTAACGCTGAGATTATGAATAAAAAAAGTAATATCTAAAAAGATAGAAATGAAAAATATAGTTCTATTAGTAAACAAAAAGAATTTGACTTATTCTATACTGTTATAGATTTTTACCTATATTCTATTATTATAATATCATATACATGTAATCATATTTTTTTAAAGAGAAGAAAATACAAATAATATTAATATTTTCCGATTTTGATCAAGATTTATTTACAAACGTTGCATTATATATTACAGCAGTAATTAACAATAGTTCGAGGCAAAAAGATTAACATGACATATTTCCTCGTGTTATCCTTATCTCGAATTAATTCAATTAATCAAAGCTATGTTTTTAAAGTGTCATGTAAAAAGTGGAGACTCAGACAGGTTGGCAGAATTTTTGCAATTTTAATATTCTCCGTAAAACAATCAACGAAATTTTACTAATAAAACAATTTACGAACACTTATTTTCTAACAACATGCACAATTTGTCAACAATTGTGTGTATCAGTTTGAGATATTTTGAACTAATAATATTATTCTATCGCATTATTTTTTTAAATCAAAAGAATGTAAAAATAAACAACAACAATGTTACATGTGTAAGTTGTGACTCGGATTTCAGACTCCTTCGATAAAAATAAATAAAAAAAAAAAAAAAAATGAAAGAGTTAAACACACGATAAAAAGGTTTTAATCACAAATTGCACTGCTTGTTATTTAAAAATCACGTGACATTAATACTGTCAGACGCTGAAACTTTATTTGTGCACTTATTTATTTATTTGTCAATCTAAATAAATTGTTTGATACATTAAAATATAAAATATATAATACAAATACAATATATAAAATTATAAAAAATACAAAAAAAGTAACAATAATATGACAAGCGTCGTGCGTTATGAAAATAATTTTCGTGACGAGCAAACAAAAACTGATGTTTGTGCAATGTTTGCTATTATTTTGAACAAAATAATATATATATAATACTTACTTTATGTATGTTCGAATTATTACATTTGTCATATTATTGCTTTGATAACAAAAAGGCTAAATATATTTCTTGCTTTACATTTGATTTATAAAAATAAACTGCGAACACATTATTGAAATAAAGATACTAATATACTGAAGTTGTTATTCTTTCTACTTTCTTCCTCTCGCAACAAGAGCACATAAACAGAATACAATGCCACTCGTTGCTTATTTTGCCAACCTATCTTTGGTCTTTCCCTACTGAGAGAAAGAAATTAAGTGAGAAGGAAAGATATGTTTTTTTTTTTTCTATGCGTTATAGATATGTTTTATGTTTACTTGTATCTTATCTTCCATTATGGTACTCGCTAATAAACTCGCATCGATGCTTGCTCTATAATCTTTAGATATTAGCAAAAATTTTTATAAGGAAAAATCTTTAGGTTAATTAATTAATGTTTGTCTCTTGACGAAAGAGAACGACGATATTATTACATACAACTCGTCTCTTAAAACGAAACAACTTGTAACAAAACAAAGCGTATGATGATGAAGACGATACATACCTAGTGATAAATAAATAAAGTCGTGAAAATGAAAAATTTATCAATAAACTTTACAATTCAAGCGGAACTTAAACTTCGATCGCTAGTTGGAATTTCTAATTAACTTTAACCGAAGACAAATTTGAAAATTGAATCTCTTTTTGACTTTTCTCTCGCTATATTTGCGAAAAGGTGGATTTTGCGGCTGGTACTCGCAGAAGCCAGTCAGTCAGCCACGCGTCTTCTATTTCCACCGTATCGATGCTTTCGCCGCGAAAGCCGACAGGGCGCCGTGAGATATAACGAAACCACGTCGTTGGGGGTACGCGTCTCTACGTTGGCATTCAGAACGTTTGGCTTATTTCGCACGGCCGCGTTCTAAAGAAGAGATTTGCCTCTGTCAGAAGAGTGTTTTTTTCTTCTTTTCCCACCGTGTCCACCTCGACGCACTCTCAGCGCCCCCTCGCCCGCTCTAATATGTGGCATGTGAGAGGGTTGGTTATCTCATCAAAATTGGACTCTTCTAGCATCCAGCTTCCCGTGCACGATCCGGTCGGGAGAACTCTCTTTGCGTCGCTCTTTGTGGGATTTCGAGGCCGTATCGCGCGCGCTATCGATTCCTATTTCTATTCGCCAGCTATTCGCCGGATGCTCGCGAAGTTATTTCTTTGCATATATCTCTCAATCGATTTATTCTTGACAAAAACAAATTATGCACATTATACAGACTATTATCGCCTTACGTTACTCACAAAACAAAAATGTCCAAACTATATATGAAACGACGAATGTCAGTTTTCGTTTCGAATTCAACAACAGGACGTTGATCCTTACTCCTATGCAATTGCACTGATTTATCTCGAAGTGTTAAGATTTATCTTACCGAACCTATAGAAGTTAGGTATACGATTCTAAATCGACCGTTGTGGCTAAATCACTGCACATTGGCGATGTGTAAATTGCTTCTGGGTGACCTGGGCACGGTTATCGAGTTCCTCTGTTGTTCCTCCTGGAAGTGGATGTCTTCCTTGATGACACCGGTGCTCAGGTTCGCGGCCGTCGTTTGCGGGATTGGGGACAGCATCGGGGCTACTCGCCACCAGTCCGCGGTCGGCCATGTAGCTGGTACCAGGTTCCCCCGGAAGTTCAGATCCGGGAGAACCGGAAGCGGTCTTCATATAACGTGTCCACGCTGTGAATTCGAGCTACTGCTACTTGACGTCAGGCTCTGAACGGAGAACGCGCTGTCGATTCTACTGCTCGACATCGAAGACGACGAGGAACTCGTCGTCGTTGCGGAAGATTTCTCCGGCTGGAGTTCTGTGGGCGGAGAAGAAGACGAAGACGAGGAGAAACGATCCTGCGAACGATCCTCCTGATGATGATGATGCCTCTCGAGAGTAGAAAAATCCTCCTCGACTTTTCGGTACCGAGATTCTTCCCGTTCCGCGACAACGGCGTTGTCGTCAGCTCTGACCGGACTCGGGAAGGGCGGGTCATCCATTTTGGACGGCAGAAACGATCTCTTAGGCTCCTTCGGTGGACTCGGACAATTGCAGTTGTTGGTAGGCTGCAAGCAACTGGTTGTCGACAGACTTGTCGGCCAAGACATCGTCAGATGACCGGGATAAGGGGTGGTACCGCTGTACAAGGCTTGAAGGGCCAAGTCGGCAGCCAATTTACCGCCGTTGAAATCGTCATTTAGTTTGTGTTGCAGCGGATAAAACGGATAAGAAAATGGCGGAAAAAAACGCGGAATTTTCAAATCGTCGTGCGACATCAGCGGATGATGTGTAGGCGGCGCCAATGGAGGCAGAAGACGCGGTAAGTTGGTCAACCCGTCACCGGGAGATATCAGTGGCGATATCGAGAAACCAAACTTGTTCTCTTTCTTTACCAAGGATTTTGGTTTTCGGCGCGGCCGGTACTTATAGTCGGGATGTTCTTTCATGTGAAGAGCTCTGAAAGGTAAAGGTAAGCAATTTGTAACATTGTGTGAATTGTTATCATTATTATACACGAGAAAATTGTTTAATTATCTACTAAGTTATTTAAAAAAAACTCACACAAGATCGAAATAAATAAAAGGAACAAAATCAAACTTAACGATTCCGGATCGTGACATCGAACTTGCGATGTCATGATCGACTGTCGCATGAGATCCCGAAGATACGAATGAACATTTCTGAATCACGAAGTGCCTTTGTTTTATTTTTTTAAATTTATTGAATTTATTTGAATAAACTAATCTTTTTTCCGAGAGAAAAAGAAATGTCACAAACAGGCTGAATCCATACTTTTTCTTTTATCATGTTTGTTTTGCGTATCGTGTTTACCGTGGCTATCGATTATTGCGGATATAACACCTCTCGCAATTTTTGTAAACTGTGCTCTTGTCGTTGTACATACAATGGAACGTATTATCGTCGTTCCAGAACACGATACGAAACACCATAAGTGTCTTGTACACACAGACACACACACTTCTTTGGACCGGTAGGGAGGAGAAGAGAAGGAAAGAGTGGCGGTATCTCTAGCACATATAATACTCCATTATGTTACCCAAGAAACGCAGTGCTTATTTATAGTGCTTATGCCTCACCTCCTGAAGATAAAAAAGGAAGAAGAGGGCGGGAGGGTGAGAGGAGGATTGAAGATACGTGGGCACCGTGCTTTTTCATAACGACAAACACGTTGCGAAGAATTTCACCGGAAATCACTAGTACAATGCAGTCGAAGAAACGAGGGTGATAACGTGATGCACTTTCGCATCGCTCTGCCCACCCCCNCCCCCTCGTGCCGTAATATATTCGCAAAAGAGAGAAAAGTCGTTCCGTTATTTCTTAATAATTTTAGAGATCTTAATATTTAATAGTTACATCGCACGTCTCTCTCTTAAACAAATATAATTTGACAAAAACAAATATTCAAAAATTATTTTTTGTTCCATTTTTTTTTTTTTTCAACTTCGAATCTCTTTCGCGGAAAGGGTTTTCAATTATTCCGCCAGAACAACAGGAGAATAACAGGATAACAAGATAATTTGCAGCTTTTTCTAGGATAGAGAATTTTACGAGACGCGTGCAAAATTTGAAATTTTGCGAGAACGCTGGCAGAAAGGTGGGAAGAGGGCGGAGGAGGTAGCGGGTAGCGAAACACCGCCGCCGCGACCGCGGAATAATAATTCCGGGGACAATGTGTCCCGGCAGATAGCACAAAGCGTAAATCAGCATAAACATCGGTAAAGCCCCGTCGACAATAACTCAGCATAAATGCATAAACATCGGCCGTAATCTTTACAATTCCGACCTCCGCGCGTACTCTCTACCCCCGCGTCGCCCATCCAACGGCTGATAAACAACGACGCTATATCATTCTACAGCGACATAAGCTACGCGCTCTCTCGCCGCGCTCGCGACAAGGAACAATAACAATTAGTTACGATTGTAGCGTCGCGACCAGGAGAGCGCGCGGTCACGTTATTTGCGTAGGCAGACTTCGACACTTAATCGGGTTTTATTGCACGAGTTTATTTCGGTAAAGTTTAGTACTTATGGACAGATTTTCCCTATCTGTTTTTCTAGTTAGAAAAAAAATAAACCGTTTAGAGCGCTGTCATAATTAAAAAAAAAAATTAACGAGTTGCTTCTCTCACATTCATATTGTATAATTTTACAATCTAGATTTTAGAAAATCTAAAATTGCTTAATTAAATTGAGATTCTTTATGATTCTTTAATCATGTCAATAGATTGTTTGCCGCGGGTATCAAAGAAACGTCCGTATAAAACATCAAAGCGGGTAAAAAGCCCATTTCACCGCGACGAGAGAAGCGAGAAATCGGGAAGAGGCTGCGGAACACGTAGGGGGTTGAATCGGTAGAGAGGGAATATGAGAGCGCGAAAAGAGGGGGAGGAGGGATAGGAAGATGAGCGGGAGAGAGCGAAAGAGAGAGAAAGAGAGTGAGCGGAATCGTTGAGCGCGCGGACGGCAGCGGCGAGAGAGGCGGGGGTGCGGAGAAGCCGGGCAAATCCTTTTAAATCCACACAATTGCGACAATGGGGCTTTATTTGTTATCTCGGGGGCCACATTGTGAGTCGCCGTGAACGAACGGACAGATTACGTCGGGCCAGTGACGGCGCGGAGTCCAAGGGAACCCGCTGCTACCAACGACGCCGCTCCAAGGGAACGACTTTATTCCCCCTTTCTCTTCTCTGCGCCGCACTCTTCCGTTCATCCCCCTCCTCTTTTATTTTACGACTGCCACCCTCCTCGTTGTCGACGTCGCTGCCATCCGCCAGAAAAGCGGATTCGCCGTTACACGTCCGCGTCGAAATTTCCCTCGGATTGCCCATACACCCCTTACCGCCTTCTCCCGTCTGCTCTCCTCATTTTCTTCCTTTTCTCGAAAATTTCGATAGAAAAATATGGCCTTTTGTTTGCGCTTTTGTATTTTCAGCAAGACGCGAGTGTATGCAAATAAAGAATTTAATGATTTTAGTTTATCCCCCACGTATTGCAGTACGTAAAAAAATAAAATGCAAAATAATATGAAAAAAACTTATAAACGCGCTATTGTGTAAAAACATTAATCTTTAGGATTTACTACAGAAATTAATATAAACATTTATAAAATAGATATTAGAGTAGATATTATTTAAGAGTTTTCATTTGGTAATTATATATTAATTAAATGTTGTATTAATTAAATCCAATAATTTCGAAGAATCGCTCTTGTGAAATATCTGTAATTATTTGCATTGTTACAATTTAATAATCGTTTAACGACCGATCGAATTATATCTTCTGTATATGATTGTAATGTGACAAATCATTTTGACGACTCGAGTATATCCATATTTCGCTTCAACAACTTCAACAGCATCGCGAAACATTCGCTCTTCTTTCTATTTCCTTCTTTTTTTCCTCTCGATGGGGTGAAATGTAAATCGAGGTCAGGATATTTTGCAACGCGGGCATGGGGTTAGAGCGTGGAGAATCAGTTTAAATCTTGTTCCTCGAGACGAAATCGAAAAGCGAGAGAGGCGAGGATCGTTCTCAAATTTGATCTACACGCACCTCGTGCGTAAATCTATTCCCGTGCCGTTCTTTAACCTCAATTGTCATTTCTCTAATATCGATCCATCTATTATGATGAAATTGAATGATTATACTGTCACAACGCAAGAAAAACGTTCGGTATAAACTAAACTGATATTAAACATCATCACATAAAATTATTGTGACTATCACATAAAACTGGCGCTCGTCTAACGAGATTGTGAAAGATCGCTTGAATGAAGCTTACAGAATTATAAACCGACTTATTATTAATAATAAGTCAAGGATTCTAAAAGAGATAGGCTCCTGCAAGTTTGCCCGTTCTAAGAGAGCGCGCCATCTCGAAAAATCGGCGTAGCCGCATCGCCGAGCTAAATAAACTCATAACAGCGATTAAATATTCAGGGTTGGTAATAAAGAGCTCGTCTCTTCTCCGTCCTATAAATACTGGCTCCGTCTCACCCTATTTTAGCCCGGGTTTAGCGCAGCACGCCCCTAAGCTTCTTGGCAACAATGTACTGTATTATGAAGTACGAGAGAGTACACGTGATACGCTTTCCCGCCGTTTTCGATCTCTCTACCCTCCTCTTCTCTCTTAACCGATCAAAGCAATTATTTCGCTAGAGTATCCAGAACAAAACAGCAATTGAGTTTCTGCCAATTGAGGAAAAGTAAAAGAAAAATTTGTATACATATTATTTTTCAATTAATTAGTTTTTGAAATCAATAAGAGCTATATTAATAAGATGTTAATTGGATATAAAAGCAAAAGTAATTGTAAAACGTTTTCGACTATTACATGATCATCTCTCTCTTCAGCTGAAAGTAATTGAAACAGTTAATAATATCGATACTCAAACACAGAAAGAAGGTTACAAAAAAGAGACTGTATAGTAATAGTAATTACTTCAAATTTCGAAGGTTACAAGACACAAAAAAAAGTTAACAGACATGAATAAGAAGTCGAAACATTGTAGCAAACAAGTATGAAAACACACACTTTTTGCATTCGGTTTTACTTGGTCGGAGCAAAGTAAAATAGATCTGATTACATTTGCAGATGATCTTTTTTTTAATGTTCCATAACTATTTTTTTTATTTATTTGTGTGCTTTTACTCTACAGCAGTAATAAAAACTAGACTCACTTTATTGTCGTAAACCATAATGTAATAAAATTTAACACATTTGCTGCGTGATTTTTTTTTACTAAAACCAAAGGGGTATAACGAAGATGAAATGTGTAAGACGTTTATTCCTATCTATCGTAATAAACGTGTGCGTGTGTTTAAATAGTTAAAATTATCGACGTTGTGTCAAGAAAAGGCGTGTGCGATATTAAAACTTAAATTACTCTTATAAAATTAAGTAAATGTAAAAATAATCACAGATGTTTAACAATTGTAAATTTTTCTTAGATATTTGTTGCTCTATCCACACAACTATAATATAACGACTTAAACTTATCTGGTTATCTGATTTTTATTGCACAATTTATTACACAATACAATTTCGAAGCTATCGTGGTTTTTTGAAAAGATTTGTTAATTTCAAGTTATCGAAATAAACAAACATTTACATTATTTCACATAGGCGCATTCCAAGATCTATTGTACGTTTGTTACTCAACAAAATGTTTTATGAGTCAAATAAAAATGTATGAAAATATTCAAATCGAAACGTTTCTCACCTCAATCTCTTCGCTTCGTCGATGAAAGGTCGCTTTTCACTCTCGCTCAACAATTTCCACTCGGCGCCGAGTCTCTTCGAGATTTCCGAGTTATGCATTTTCGGATTTTCCTGTGCCATTTTACGACGCTGTCCACGCGACCAAACCATGAAGGCGTTCATCGGCCGCTTAATGTGCTCGTTATGCAAGGAGGACTTGGACGACATCTCCATGGGTCGCTCCCTTTCAATCTTGCAGCTCAACGAATGCACATTTCTCTTAGACAATTAGGTTGAAAGTTTGTATCTTAAGGGCCAAGATAAGTTTCTGCAGCTTGCATTTTTCCTCAATACTTTAGCTTTCAAATGAATTGAATATTCTTACAACGGTGGAAGTCGGAATTTTCAATAATTTTATGTTGTATTTTACGTGTAATCAATCTTGAGCGATTGACGGAGACAATTTTATCTTCTCTTTATCTTCTAGTCTGACTCACGTTTATTCGCGAAAATAATATTGACGAAATAATATTGGTGTATTTCTTAAAACTTCGTGTTAAATATTGTTTCAAGTGTTTTTGAAATAATTCCGTTTATTCGATTATATATATTCAATAATAATCTACGATAATAGTAGAATCGAGACAAATATCGTATGTTTATATTGTGCTCACAACCGACGGCAACATTCGTGAAATCTTCTCGTATGACAATTGGAGAAAAAACTCACACATTTTAAAAGCTCAACATATTTTCGACAGACGTTGCAGACGTTTCCCGACACAATTGACTCTTAATGACCCTTTGTCTGACAGCGAAATATAGCGTTTAACTCGTCTTACAAAAAATCATACAATTTATCCACTAGATTCTCTCACAAAAGATTCTGTGATTTCTTGATAAATCGTTCTTGAAGAATTTCACGACAAAAGAAATCTCGAAGTAAGATGTCAGTCTGTTTTGACGTCGTCGGGTGTGGGATCATGTTGCAACAACAGTCGTCACAAAAAATTACGAATTATTATTGAGCGACTCTTTTCCGAAGATGAGTTTCCGTGTCGGTATGGAACCAGCGGACACGAGTCCTTGTGGTCTACTGGCTCGAAGGGTTTAAACGAACTTTCCCCAACGTAGAGCGCATCTAGGGCAGCTTCTGACTCCCGCTCTCGCGGGACGTGGGGAAGAAGAAGATAGTGAGAGCCAATGGAACGCTGCGGCCCGATTTCCTACCATTCCCTACGGCCAATGGCGAATCGTGATTGGCCGCCGCGTCGACATGGCGGTTCGCGGCGGATACGTAAATTCGCGCAACAGGTGGAGAGAGAGTATGTATTCTGTTTCTTTCTCCTTTGCTCTTTCTGTTCTTCCGTCTGGTCGGTCGAATTCGTGTTTACAAAGACAACGATGCGACGGTTGTCCAAAGTGTGAGGCGCGTTTGTCGTGCGGATTATCACGCTGCTACTGGTACCCGCTAGCCTTTCTAAATTCCGACCTCTCCGTCTTCCGTCAACGATCAGCGGACCTATAGAGACCCGCGGATTTATTGATACCTTCTGAAGACAATAAAGAGTTAGAAAGAATAGAAAGATATCACACGTATAATCACGGGACTTTAAAAGTGCCTGCGGGCGCAGTCTGAACTTTTTGAACACACACCAATGCCAAATTGCTTCTATATCTTTTCAGGATGAATACAAATTTTTTAATTCTTATCAAAAGAAGAAACTAGTCTATCACTTTTATAACAACACAACACGAAGTAAGTTATTTTATTATAAAAGTTTTTAAATATCATCACTAGAAACGTCTTATACAAAAAGTTTTAGACAAAATGGTTGCGTCGTTGATGCGTTCGCCAATCAACCACCATTTTTGTCATTAGGGCGGAGAATTTCTTTTCTTGCTTTGTCCGCGGGCAAAGATACACAAGAGCGTGGAAAACGCGAGCAATATAGAAAGAGACCAGGTCTCATAATAAATGTTATCAGTCGCGGCAGTGTCTTGTCGCGAATCGAGCGAGACGACGAGACGAGGGGAAAGGGGTGCAACGAAGAAGGAAGGGTGGAACACGTCTCGAGTGATAAGGCGATAAAGAGAGAAAAGGTATAAAACGAGATACAAGAGAACTGGTATAGCGGGCAACAACATCCCCTCCTTCTTTTCGGGTCGCCATAAAGAGGAGACTGCGCCGTCATTGAATTTCCGGAAGAAGCAGAAATATTCATCTGCCGCAGAAAAGTGAATCTGTGTCACGTCGCGGAAAGAAATTGAGCTGGTACATTTCGTGAAAAAAAAATTTTATATATATGTATATATATATATATATATATAAAGAATGAATCTTATTCTTGAGAACGTGTGAAATTTAATTTTGCTGGGACGTATTAAATAAAATACGTAGGTACAAAACAAATTGCACGAACAATTTGTCTTTTTTTTTTTTAATAAGAATATACAGAGTCAAAGTTTCAAAATGAAGATAAAAAGATCAGCGTGTTCTTTGCTCGCACTTGTGTTTTTAGATTCTCTTTCGATCTCACAATTTGTGGTACACGTGTGACAAGGAACAAATGTCGTGATCGTTATACTTCGGGGAGTATAATGAAGGATCATCTACTCCGGAGAGAGTCAGATAAGCGGGCGCGATCGCCTGTCACGCCGTCCCATTATTAACCGCACAATAAATTCGCTCTCTAACGGTGTCCGTCAATGAGCGAGATACAGCGATCGACTGTCGTTCCGGGAGCCCTTTATCAACCCTCGTCTCTTCGTCATACATTCTGTCATTCACGCAGACGTGAACGCGCTTTTTATCGCACATTGCCGCGACAAGAATCAATGCCGAGAGGGGTGACAGTGTCTTTTTTCAGGTAATTCAACACCTAAATCGACAGAGTCTTTTACCATACATGTATCGTACGTGCATAGAACAATTAGAATTACTTCTTAAAATGCCTGATACCGCGTGACAAAGTTCTTGACATCTTATTTTGACGAAAACGAAAGAGAAAGTTTCGTCGTTATGTGATTGTTTTTTCTACAAATCTATATGTCAGTTTCAAATTTTTGTAACTTTTACTTACGTTATTATTTGTCATTTGTTTGTTCTTAGGTTTATTGCTAGGAATCGGATTATTGCAAGACTCGAAATCTGCAATACAGGATTTGCGAGAGTACAAGGGTTGGGGCGGGCAACACTTTTAAAGCGCAAAACATGGCAGAGCCGGGCTAAGTGATTTTTCGCGATTCCAATATCACACAGAGGTATGGGGAATAGGAATGAGAGAAGGGATGAATTTCATTTCGTCGTGTTCTCTCCCTCGCGATCTCTTCCTCTCTCGTCGAGTATAGAGGGGAGGAAGGAGGGGAAGAAGGGGCCGCCACGCGACCGCTGATTATACCATTCATCGACTGGCACGGTCCGAAAGAGGGTTGCGAGCGTAAACGCCGTAACATCTAATGTACCCGCGTTTCTCCGCCCTTCCCCTTGTTTCCTGCTCGCTCCGATCCTGAATGCTCGCTCATCAATGAAACAATTCGACTTCTCGCTGATCCACCGTTGGCTCCTTAAGATTCCCTCTCTGTCTCTCTCTCTCTCTCTCTCTCTCTCTCTCTCTCTCTCTCGCTAATTTAACTTTCGTCTAATAGGAAGAAAAGTATGCAAACTCTTTTTCGCAAGTGTAAACGTATAAAATAATTTTTTAAAATAATCTTTGTTTTACAAAAATAATATAACGTAATAAAGTTGTATTCTATTTGATATTTTTACACAAAATGTCACAAATATACAATATTTGCGCAAAACATTAAAAAGTTAATTTTAGCTGTTGCGCCTTTCGACAAGTGAAGCGCAACAAACTAGATTATTATTTTTTTAATAGTGATGTAAGATTTGTTCGATTACAAAGAGCAAAAATTGGCGTGATAAACCGAAACAATACCGTATGACAAAGCAGGACATGATCGTAGTGATTGCTGAAACGACAACAAACGCGCCCCGCGAGGAAGGGGTTTGACAGAAGCCGAGGGAAAATAGAGGCAGCGAGGGGGAGAAGGGAGGGAGTCGAGAGAGAGTAAGCGACGGTGGCGTCGAAAAGCTCGCTGATTACTCTATTGTCGAGCCGGTTGTTTCAGTTAATCGCAACGCGCCGTGGACTTTTGTTGTCCTTTTATACGCGCTTGCAGCTTGCATTCATGACTGATGCGTTCATCTTGATACTTAATGCCGTTAATTTAGTTAGGACAGTTTTCGCGAAATTACGACTTCTCTCGCAGAAAAACATTGTTTCACAAGAAAATGAAAAGGCACTTTAATGAGACATTTAATTGAAAATTCTTACCGAATAACAAAATGCTCGATAACGAACAGAGAAAAAGAATTTAAAAACTTTCGTCAAATTTGACTCGCGAATATTTTTTTTCCGGAAAAAGGACATTTTATTTCACGAAGCCATTGTTTTTGCTTTTTTTTTTTTACAAATGCATCATCAAACATTATACTTCAGGAAACATATGTTGATTAAATTCATCGTACATACGTAGTGTCGTTATGGGACACGCAACGCCGGCCACGGACGTCTCTTGCGGATCAAAGTAGGTTCCACGGCGAGATCGTGTCACAAATCTCGCGCGTCATAAACGAGACCCGATTGTCTCTCCCTGTGTATCGCTCCTCCGCGGCTGCGGCGGCCGGAGCGAAAATCGAATTCCGTTTTGTTTGGACGAATCTATACCGGCATTCGGTATTCAGAGCGCGGCTCTCGACATATCAAAATAGAGCGCACACAATAAGTTATTCGGCCGAACAAAATCGAGGGGGTGTGCGAGGACGATGGAAGGGTAGTATTTTATAGAGTCCCGTTCGGGTTACATACTGTGAATACATCGCGCGGTGAAGGGGATGACGCGGGAGGTGGGGTCGGACTCGCGTGTGACTGGAATACGTCATGCGGAGGTGAACGCCACCCCCCCGGCGACGCACGTATACTAATTTTCAATCGGCTGTTTGACCAAGTGAGCTTTGTAAGTATCGTTTGACGTCGGATAACCTTCTTTGCGGTTTCCCCGATTCTGCGTTTCGAAATCTCGTTCGGAACAATGACTCCTGTGGTCGAATCCTTAAAAAGATATTAACCCCGACGGGGTGTAAATTCTCCATCGCGCACGATTACGCAATCACTTCTCGCGTGGCACAAGCGACGTCGAAAAGAATAAGTGAAAACCGGTAATTCAAACTTTATTTAATAACTCAGCGACTCTTGATAATTCGGATTTCATTTATCTTAATTAGAACAAAGTTAATGAAAAGTTGTAAGTACACAAAATGTGAGCAGAGGTCGAGTTGTATTCATCTGGCGGTGTTATATGAACGTGACGTGATGTTGCGGGATCATTCGTAACATTCATTAAGTACGTACATCACAACAAGCGAATGTCCGGCCGACGCATAAAGAAGACGAGAGATATCGGACAATCTCTGAAGGACGACTCCTTTTGCTCTCGTCTCTCGGATGAATCTCCCCGCGCTTCTTCCCCGCGCTAGACACCACCGCGATTACGATCGCACCGCGCGTCGACGTCATATCGCGCGCGCACTATTAATAATAATCGGAAAATAATTATCCCTGTGGGTCGCGCGGTCGGCGGTGTGTGGGTGGCAAACCGTGTGCGCGCGCGGCTGTGAATCAACGCTAATTATGAGGAATGGACCTCGGATGTGTCCGACTCGGATGATCGCTGATTCGACATATAACGCGCTTTCATGGCGGACAAGGCCGCGTTACTAACGATCCGGGGATCCATTCTTACGATATCGGAACGATGATTCTCCGATCGCGAAGTTGAACCCGAAAGGGTTTAGACGTACGAGGGTAAACTCTCACTCTGTGAGAGAGAGACCACCTACAAAGAGTTTTCATGTTGCTATTGCGAAAAAAAATCTTAGCTAGGAGTCGAACTCGGATTAAGATTTTTCACTTTTATTTCACGCTTCCTTATTACGCTGTCAGGTTTTGCAGATAAGCGCGCTACAAAAAAAAAAAAAAAAACTGAGTGCACGCAAGTATAGAAATGTAGGTGGTG